ATATTTCCCAAATCATGGTGTATGTGTGTGTCTTTCTTTCTTTTGGGGAGGGAGCAACACAATTTTATTTTTAAAATTAATTTAACTTAATTTTATTTTGTGTCCAGGTTTTTCTTGAAACCATGTGGGCATCCTACCGAAGTTCTATTTATAGAGTCCTAAGGCTATTGTTGTCATACAGGGAAAGCAGGACCCTGTGACCATTTGTAATATGTCCTCAAATGGTATCTGTATTTGTCCTCTCTCTGTGTGCTGCCTGACATTGGACTATGTTTTAGGAGCTGGGTCTAGAATATTAGGTTTGTATTCCAGGCAGCTCTTGCTCTCATTTCTCGTTTATTTTGTCCACCTAGCAATAAAAAATAAATTTATATTAACTAGAAAGGCAATTTCCTGAGGATTTGTTTTGAAAAGATCTGGCTTAAGTTTTCCTGCTTTGTTGTTAGTGCCCTTATGTAAGTTACAGTGGCAAATTCTAAATCCCAAGATTGCCTTCCTAGTCCAAACTCCAACATCTCTCTGTTTAATACATATTAATTTTATTATTCAGCTCAAGGAATATTATGTCAGTAATTCATGTAATGTAGTCTAAAGCCCAACATTAGAACTTTCTGAATTCTTGTTTTAGCTGACCACTGTCAGCATTTGTTCTAGTGGTATGGCTAAAAATCCATTTGTAAAATGGCTGCTTTAATTTTTCAATTATGTGTACTCATATATTGAACAATTAATGCAAATACAAAGACCAGGATTTATGATCAGAATTACATTCAAGTTAGGTCTCAAATTTTAGAATAGTTCGTTTGCTAGTTTAATATGTTCAAATTGGTATGATAATGAGGTAATTTCTTCTTTTATTGAGTCACTGTCTTTCATGTTCAAATTCCTTCCTCAGAAACATCTCTGATACCCTAGTTTTTCCAACATTATGTCTCCAGTTGCTAGTTGCTCTGTCCAGTCTTTACCTTGATCCCCAGCCCCATACCTGGAGCCTTTTATATGCTGTAAGACAGTCTGATGCTAATCCCTTGGTAGCACAACTAAGCCAAAGAAGTCATTTATGACTGAGTGGTTAAGAGTGTGTGGACTGTGTGTGGAGCCTGTCTGCCTAGGTTTCAATTCCAGCTCCACCATGAATTTGGGCAAGTCATTTAACCATTCTGTACTTTAGTGTCCTCATCAAAGATGGGAGATTATAAATGTACCATTCTCATAGCATGATTGTGAGGATTAAATTACTTATTGCATTTAAGCACTTTGAACAGTACCTGGCACATAGTAAGTACTATGTGAGTGTTTGATGTCATTGTCTAAGTGATAGGCCTTTGATGCAAGCTTTTGTGTAGATGGGAGCAGCAGCCTATATACCCTTTACTTATGTGGGGCAAGCAGAGAAACGTGGTTTGAATCGCTTGTATTGTCCCCCAATCCGAGGAAGGGTGGGATAGCAATAGGCCTCCAAGGAAAGTCACCTTTACTACACTCTTCAGCCTCTAGACAGGCCTTTTCATCTCCAAAGCATAACTTCTCCATCCCTTCCACATCGTTCGTCCTTGTTTGTCTCTAATACTTCTGCTCAAAGGAGAAATAAAAAGAACTCTTGCTATTTTGGCGGGGGAGGGAGGTTATAATAAAAGGAGGACTCCAAGTTCATGGGGCCCATTTGTTATTTATGTTACTACTTTTCTGAGTATTGCTTCCTAGGATACTACCACACATTACCCCTTGTTGTGGACCTCTGTAACATTGCTTTCCTGCCTGAATTGCTCTCAGTCACCAGATGAATACCATCTGTAAATTGCACATTTCTCTCTGCTTGTATTTCCTTCTGTCATCTTCAGCCTACCCCCAAGTACCTACCTGACCCACTTCATTGCTATCTCCCGTTTTATAGTGTTATTTATTATTTTAATGTTTTCTGAGAGAAACCAAATCTGTTATATTTTTTAAATAATTTATTTGTTGTACTTCAGTGTTCCATAATTAAGATTCTCTTGTGCTGCTTTATTGAAAAAGCAGGGCAGTGATTCCTAATTTTAGCTTTGTGACACTCAAGATCTGATATCCCTTCCAAAATACCTGTGTTTCCAGTGCCTAATATTATACCACTAGACATTCATTCATTGCGTTAAAATGCTGTCAAATCCCCCTTTAAAATGTAGATTTCTCTGAATATTTAGTAAATTGGTACTGAGTCAGGCGGTCAATGTTCTAGTCTGTGCCGTACCACTAATTAGCTCTATGTTCTGGGGTAAATCAGCTGGAAGCTTTTTCAGAAGCATATAGGTTAGTAATTCAGAAGTCAGTCTTTCTGGGTGTAGATTCTGATTCCACCATTTAATTTTTGGGAAGTTACTTATTCTCTCCAAGTCTCAATTTCTTTATCTGTGAAAGGAATAGTAATAGTAATTATAGCATACGATGGCTGTGAGGATTGAATCAGATAATGCACAAAAAGCACTTAGCACAATACCTGGCACATTGTAAGCCTTCAGTAAATGTCAGTTGCTGCAAATATGTTTTAGATATCTGGGAAGGAGGGAAGTTGTTACCTATTCTACCTTGTCTTATAGCAGAGGTTGGCAAAATATGGCCCAAATCTGGTCAGTGGCCTCTTTTTGTATAAAACAACAAAAAACAAAGAAGTACATGTGGCAGGGACCTGCAAAGCCTAATATATTTATATCTGATGTTTACTATCTGGCCCTTTGCAGAAAAAGTTTACTGTTCCCTGCCTTACTAGGATTGCTAGTAAGCTTTAATGAAATAATTATAATAAAATCCCAAATTACCATGCAATAAAGTGAGTTACTAACATCTTAATGTTACTTACTTTATTAGTGATAAATGGTCAACCCTGTCCACTTGAGAGGTTTAAAATAATGATAAATTAGATGTGGGAACAACAGAGGGAAAAGAGGTGAAATTCCTTGGTACCACAGGCCTTTGAGAGAGGTTGCAATGGGGAACCAAAGGAAAAGGCCCTGGGCACCTGAAAGGAAACAAACCTGCTATATAGAAGCTCCTTAACTAAACTTGACTAAACCTACTCTTCAGACAGAGGTTATCTATAGAACATACTGACATGTGGGCAGAACTCGCAAGGCTAGGAGGCCTTCTCTAGTATACCTACACATTTCCATTCCTGTCATTGGGTTTGTGTCTCCCAAGAGACACTTGGGCTTGTTCCCAAACCTGTTTAATGCCATTTGAATTTATTATTTTGATGGCATAACAATGAAATATCATATAAACCAATGATACATGAAATATGAAGAGAGGTAGTGTTCTGGTGAAAACTAAAGTGAATGCTTTGGAAAGATTTAATAAGAAAGAGGCACTTTAAAAATTGCTATTGAGTTCAGTATAGATGAAACAATATAAAAGTTTGAGGGAAAATTATAAAAATTTAAGATGATTCTATACTTCACAAAAGTTTTAAATTTCTTTCTTCACTTGAGAGAAGTTTGAACTAGAAATCATAGACAGTGTATATGGGTATAGTTACTGCAAGAAATATGAGGCTCCAATTAGCAAACCCATATTAAAAAAGATTGGTGTAAGACTAGTGAATGAATGCATATTTATTTTTTAAGTTAGAATAAAATGATTATGATATATACAAATAATTTTTAAAATTCTCTCCTGATTTTTTTGATTAACCAAATGACTATCAGTCTTAATTGTGTTGGATAATAGGGCATTCACTACACTTTACAAATCATTTTTTAACTTAGGAAAGGCTAATCCTATAAGAGCTGTAGTAAATGGATGTCTCAAGAGAAAGCTAACTTTCTTTTTTTGATGTTTATGTTCTTTAAGATATTTGCAAAGAAGTGGAGTGGGTCATAGGGACAGCTCCAAAAAGTTTGGATTCAGTGCTCTGGGTTTAACCCGTATTCCGTTATGTGGAACTAAAAGGAAAAAAAGATATTCTTGGAGCAAGAGTACTTTAAAAAATAGCCCCAGTAAAAAAAATTCCTTCTTTAAAGCTTCTCTGAGTAATCCAGGTCATTATTCTGCCTGGAGTAGTGAATCTAGTTCAGCCTCCATCAGGAAGTATTGAATAGCAATGTACTTAAAGCAAGAGCAAGGGAAAAATTAGGGCATCTCGACAGAGCCAGAAGCAGCCTTGTCAGTTGAGATTAAATTTAATCAAAAAGAGAAAATAGTTTTTGGCATGTTAGAAAGTGAAAAATTTGGCAAAGATTTTTAATACACCATGCTATCTACAGCATTATTTTTTAAACTGAGGCTTGTATCTTAATTAAATAGGAATGTTTTCTAAGTTTCTGACTTAAGGTCAGGGTAGTTGTTTAAGCCTCAGATGCTTTTAATCTTACTTAGATGGAAATGTCTCACATGCTGTGTTAGTTCAAGGTTTCCGAGAAGCAGACACGAAGAAAGGATTAGACTTGCAAGAAATTTACAGGATAAGTGCGTGTGAGAACATGGGAAGGAATCCGGAGATGACTGGGAGAGCTGTTAACCTGCGATGTTGATCTGACCCTGAATGAAGGAGAAAGGGAAGGAAGGAAGCTTGGGTAGAAGCATCTTAGACTGCAGTGCAGTTCTGAGGAATGTTCGGCAGGCTGTTGGAAAGTTCTGAATCCAAAGTCACCCATCAGAAAAGGCCCTTTTGGGCTGGCCCCGTGGCTTAGTGGTTAAGTGCACTCGCTCCGCTGCTGGCGGCCTGGGTTCGGATCCCGGGCGCACCCGGACGCACCACTTCTCCGGCCATGCTGAGGCCGCGTCCCACGTACAGCAACTAGAAGGATGTGCAGCTATGACATACAACTATCTATTGGGGCTTTGGGGGAAAATAAATAAATAAAACTATTAAAAACAAAAAGGCCCTTTCTCCCAGGAATCAGCCTGCGTTAGGATCCCTGATGTGCTCAGTCACTGGTCTTGGGACCAATGTGGTGTAGATTCAGAGTGCTGCAGCTGGGGCCATGGGTCTTATTCAGTATCACATTGGCTATTTTAGGTTCTTTGACTTTCTGTATACATTTTAGAATCACTTTGTCAATACCTACAAAATAGCTTTCTGGGATTTTGATTGATTCTGTAAATGAGTGTTGAATTTTGTTAAATGCTTTTCTGCATCTATTTTGATGATCACATGATTTCTTTCCTTTATTTTGTTAATGTGCTAAATTATATTGCTTGATGTTGAAATGTTAAAGCAATCCTGCATTCCTGGAATAATTTCAACTTGGTTGTGATGTTTATTCACTCTATTTATTGCTGGATATAGTTTGCTAATATTTTGCTTAAGATTTTTGCATCTATATTCATGAGAGTGTTGGCCTGTGATTTTCCTTTTTTTTGTAATGTCCTTGTCAGGTTTAGGTCTCAAGGTTATGTTGACTTCATAAAATGTGGTTGGGAAGTATTTCTTTTTTTTTCTATTTTATTTATTATTTGTTTGAGTGAGATCGATTTTTTATATCTTCCTTAAATATTTGTTTGAATTCACTGGGGAAATCATCTTGGACTGTTATTTTCTTTATTAAGTGTTCTTTTCATCCTTTTTTCACAGTTAAATTTATTGAGTTAGAATTCATATCAATCAAATGCACACCAAGTCCAATTTGATGAGTTTTGACTAATGTATAAACTTGTGTAACTCCCACCACAATCCAGTTATAGAGAATTTTCATCAAAAAGTTCCCTTGTGCCCATTTGCCATCAGTACCTCCCCTCTCCTTGGCCCTAGGCAAAAACTTAATTTCATATGCTTATTTACCATCTTTATATCTTCTTTGGTGAGTTTTCTGTACATATCTTTTGCCCATTTTTTAATTGGGTTTTGGTTTTTTTATTGTTTGCTAAATTATAGGTTATTTTACCTGTCCTAGAATTTCATATAAATGAATTTGGACATATTATTGTGTCTGACTTCTTTTGCTCAGCATAATGTTTTTGAGCTTTATCCTTGGATATTATGTATTTCACTATTTCCTTCAATTTTTATTGCTGAGTAGTATCGCATTGTATGGATATACCACAATTTGTTTATCCATTCTCCTGTTGATGGACATATTGGTTTCTTTCCAGTGTTTAGCTGTTATTGATAAAGCTGGTATGAACATTTGTGTGCAAGTCTTTTTGTGAATATATATTTTAATTTCTCTGAGTAAATACCTAGGAGTGGAATTGCTGGGTCATGTGGTGAGTGGATGTTAACTTTTTATGAAATTGACAAACATTTCTCCAAAGAAGTTGTGTCATTTTATACTCCCACCTGCATGCTATGAAGAGTTTCAGTTGTTCCACATCTTCACCACCACTTGCCATTGTCAGTCTTTTAAATTTTTGCCACTCTAGAAGGTGTGTAGTGTTATCACACTGTGGTTTTCATTTGCATTCTCCTGATCACTAGTAATGTTGAGTACCATCTCATGTGCTTACTGGCCATTTGCACATCTTGTGATGTTTCTGTTCAAATCTTTTGCCCATTTTTTTAAAGCATTCTTAAAGAGAGTGATTTGGTACAAATTTTAATACAAGTGAACTATTGAGAAACAGACGTGTACCTTTTTTTCGCCTTCAGATGAATCATGTATGGTTCTGACCATAGCTTTTTCCAATCCTAATCTAATGCTGAAAACTTGATGTAATGTCATTCTTTATAACTAGCCATAAACTTTCATTTTGAAGTAAAACTGTTTCTATCAATTTGGCTCTTATCTCATAATTTTTTGTGTGTGCACTCATTTTTTAGTTGGGGTGTTTATGTACTTATATATGTATTTTATATATATAATATATATTTATAAATAAGATACATTATATCTCATATGGGGTTTTAATCGTTTTTTTAACATCCTGGATTCAAGTTACTTGGCAGATACATGTTTTGCAAATCTTTTCTTCCAACATTTTGCTTGTCTTTCCATTTTCTTAAAAGTGACTTTAAAAGGACTAAAGTTTTTAATTCTGTTAAAGTTTAAATTTTTATGTTTTTTTAAAAACGTGGTTCATGTTTTTTGTGTGCTAAGAAATCTTTGCCTACCCCAGAGTTGCAAAGATTTTTACCTTTTTCTAGAGATTTTATAGTATTAGCTTTTATATTTAGGTTTTCATCCATTTTGAGTTGATTTTTGTGTATGGTGTGAGGTTAACTGTTGAGCTTCATTTCTTTCGCTCCAAACCTCCAGTTCCAGTACCTTTTGTTGATAAGATTGTCTTTCTAGAATTACTTTGACACCTTTGTTGAAAAGCAATTGGCCATATATGTGTGAGTCTATTTTCGTTACTCTCAATTCTGTTCCAGGGATCTGTATGTCTATCCTTACATCAGTACCACATTCTCTTGATTACTGTCACTTTATAGTAAGTCTTGAAATCATGTCTTCCAACTTTTTTCTTCTGTTTGATGGTTGGTTGTCTGTTGTGAGCTATTTTGCTTCTGGCCAGCAGTTAGGCTAGATGCAGATCACTTTATTCCAGTCACGATTGAGCTGATTCAAAGTTGGACTTCAGTTCTAATAAGGGCTGTCAATTTCCCATTCATTCTTTTTCCTAGGGTGTAGCCCTTCAGAGTCCAACTGAAATCCCGGAGTATCCACCAAATTCTCCTCTCTTTAATAGACCCCAAATTCCAATTTGTGTGCCTCCAAGCCTGGGAAGATTGCCAGAATCTGTGCTCAGCTTCTTAGCCTCTCAACCATTGCTTTTGCTTTCAGATTTTGCAACTGCCTCAATGGAAAAAGTTGCCTCAAACACTTGGATCATCTCCTTTGTCTTCTGTCTCAAAACTTGTCTCAAAAGCTACCACCATGGTAGCTTTCTGATGCCTTAGAATCATGCTTTCTTTCTTCATTTTTTTTAATATATACGTGTTTTGCTCATCTTTTTAGCCATTTTCAGCAAGAGGATTGGTCTGAGACAACCTAGTAAGCCATTGCCAGAAGTGTCTTTATCCCCCTCCACTCTTCCATCTCATCCTCCACTGGAATATAGCATTGATCTCTGTATCTCATTTACTTCTGTACTCCCAGCACCTAGAATAATGCCTAGCACAAAATAAAAGTCAATAGATATTTGTTGAATTAAAGAATGAATGAATTAGCATTTTATTTGTAAAGATAGAATGGAAATTCAAAAGAAAATATCTTTTCTGTCATTTCCTTAGACCTAAGATATAGCCATTCTTGAGCGTAATTAGGGTGAGTTCTCAACTTGAACTCAGTACCTTTAGAGTTCTGGTCTCTTTCTTCTTGATATTTCCTCAAGATAGTGAGTAACATCTTTTGGTCTTTATTTCTCCATTTGTAAATGATTTATTACTCTCTTACTCATGGAAATAGTTTCAACTGTTATTAAAATTAAAGAGCTTTCAAGAGAAAAAATTAAAAAGATAAAAAAGACTTGGGAATTAATGTTTTAATCAAGCAATCAAAATACTTAGGTATAAATATAGGCTTATCAGTTTTATTATTATGATAATCCTACCCGTGAATACAAACAGGACAAATAGATTGTTGTCATGTTTTAAGAGATAAAGATGAAGATTTTCATAAAAAATTACATTTTGCATAGTACTTAAATGTTTACCTGTGTTTTTTCCCCCATCTTCCCTTTAGAGCCATTTTAAGTGCCAGATCTAGTTATTTTGCTGCAATGTTGAGTGGCTGTTGGTCTGAAAGCTCCCAAGAGCATATTACTCTTCAAGGGTAAGTATACTTTTTACAAGGCAGCTTGACTGCAAATGATTGCAAATAATATGTCACGCAAAGTGCTTTTTGTGAATCTGATTTTCCTTTGTGTTCGATGAAATATTTCTCGTGGTAGAATTCAACAAAGTACATTTTCTGAAAATGAGAGGTAGAAGGGAGCATTTAATAATAGAGATAGTGTACTAGTCTTCTCAGACTATTGTAACAAAATACCACAGACTGGGTGGCTTAAACAATAGAAATTTATTTTCTCAGAGTTCTGCAAGATCAAGGTGCCATCAAGGTTGGTGTCTGGTGAAAGCTCTTTCCTTGGGTCCTTGGGTTGCAGACAGCCACTTCTCACTGTGTGCCCAAATGGCCTTTCCTCAGTGCATGGGGCTGGCGGGGAGGTGAAAGGAAGGTGGAGGAAGAGAGAGAGCTCTCTGGTGTATCTTCTTATAAGGACACTAATCCTATCACATCAGGGTAGGGGGCCACCCTTATTACCCCGTTTAACCTTAATTACTTCCTTAGAAGCCCCATCTCCAAATATAGCTACTGGGGGGTTAGGGCTTCAACATATGAATTAGGGTGGCTGAGGAAACACAGATATTCAGTCTATAGCAGGTAGTTTCTTTCTTTCTTTCTTTCTCTTTTTAAGAATAATTTGTATAGGTATGGATTTCAATAATCTATGATAGTGCAATGGTGAACCTACACCAAAACTGTTAAATAGTAGCTGCTGGCCAGAACAGTTGGTGGCAGTTTATATAAACTGCTGAGACAGTTATTAAGAGATGAACTACTTTAAATGGTGAAATGGAACGTTTTTTGGCCACAGATAATCAGTGTGAGAATCAACATGGGGGAGGGCTTTCTCAGTAGGAAAATTGCCTGGAAGTTCTGAGGGGGCCCCTTGGCCCTGCATCATTCTGACCATGGATGTTTCCTTGACTGGGTCAGCCTCGGCCAGAGGCTTGGGTGTGGATTGGTGATAGTGGCAATTCCATAACAGTGGATACATGGAAAGTATTGATAAATTGTTACTGACCATTTATTTGTCACACTGGCCTATAATTGAGCCTTCTAGGTTACAACCATCTGGTTCTCTTACTAACTAAAACATCCCTAAATGCTTTTCGTTTTGTAATTTCTCACTCTATAACGAATGGAATTTTGAAACATTTGTAAGAATATGTGATTTGTAAGAATATGTGTTTCTATTTTTTCATATTTTATTCATTTACTAGAAATGAAACACATATACAAAAGGACCTAACCCCTTTTCTTTCATACCAGGGCCTTTAGAGGGTTACATTTTAGTTATTCTACGACAGTTTCAATACACATATCACAGCATATGTTGCAGCCTGTCTTTTGGATATAGTTTCAGCAACTGCCACTGTTACTGATTTAATTACACATCCATGGAATCACATGCATGCCTTTATTACAGTGTGCTTTTTAAAGAACAGAAAAGACTAGACCAATGAAATAGTAATAAAGAGAAAATAATGGAAGATGTAAAATTGTATATAATCACCAAGTTTTTACTTGCTATTGCTATTAAAATAAACTTTCTCTCTACTAATTTGTTGCCTACATGCATAAAATACACGTGGAAGGTTTGTTTTTCTT